GACTACCTGTGTAACTCTCGATACGTGATGTCCGGAGGATCGGAACTAAAGGATGTAGCGTTTAACAACCCAAGCCCAACAATCCCTCAGAATATTTATTGAATCACATGACACAAAGTAAATATCTGGCAATGCACTGAGTACAGTGATGATTTGTCTACGATGCACAGCAGGATCTGACATTGTTCATGAGGTGAACAGAAATCTAAATAAGGCACTACCAAAAGCAGATGGATCTGCCTCGTTTCCCTCAACTTCTGCAGAACTCTGGGTAGTACTGCCGTTAGTGGGAACATGTATGCATGAAGGTGTTCCCAGGAGATGGCGAGAGTGTCATGATCCCAAGCCAGTGGATCTGGAAGTGGGGACACGAAGACTGGCAACTGATGGTAGCGAAAAGATTGATGTTTGGCATGGTCAGTTGTTAACACACCCTCTGAAACAGATCGGGATGCAATTGCCATTCCGTCGGTGTGGACTGAAGGCAAGACAGGGCGTCCACGACTATGTTTGTGACTTCTGGAATGTGACAAGCCCTGACTTCCATCGACACGATGTCTATCAGCTGGTAAAACTGAAAAGTTTGGTCTAACAAATAGCTGAAATGTGTGGGCCCCATCTTCTTGACGTAATGAGCCACCGTGGCATTGTCGGTGGAGATTAGCACATGGGAGCCCTTGAAGTGTTGTCTCTACTGCTTCACAGAAAGAATCACAGCCAAAACCTTGAGGCTGTTGATATGCATGCCTGCCTGCTCTTCTGTCAACACCACTGAAGTGTTAGGTGATCCATATGCGCGCCCCATACCCTCAGTGATGCATCCAAGAAGAGATGGTGTTTTGGCCCGAAATTTCACAGAGATTTCACCAGCATGGTAGCAGCACAATCAGCTCTGGGTCATTCAGACGGAACCATGGCTGGGGATAACATTGCTTAGGTCTCAGTTGAAGAAAACCCCTATGTGTTGCGTCTTGGGTCGACGTCAGTAGACCCTGTAGACTCTGCCAATCACGGACTGTCATGTCCTGGGTTACAGCCTGTCGAATTGACGATTGTATCTTCTGCCGCCTGTCCATTGGCACCATTAGTAAACTCCTGATCTATTGCCGTGCAACAGGGCTACCACTGGATTCATGAAAATAACCACGGGGCTGAGAAAATTCCAAATGGCAGGACTTGCCATTTGAAGTGCCTCCCCAGGAACAGGAATCTGAGTAAAGGTTGGTGCCTGGAGATCCAAAGATGCCATGAAGTCCCCCGGACATATGGTTAACCTCAAGTCTTTGAGGGATAACATCTGAAAATACGTCCTAGACTCCAGACACAACTGGCGGAAAGTTTTCAGGTTGTGGATCATGCACATCCTGTTGGGTCTTTCTTGGGGACCAGGAATATCCTGGAACAAGAAAACAGTGTTATCACTATCCCCAGCCATGGGAGACATTAGAACTTTGTTTGTTCATACCGTAGTGAATATAAACTTTAAAATAGAATCCTATAAAGCCTTTAGAAGAGAAACGTACTTGGGTCGCTTTATGTCATCAGTAGAAATGATTGAATGTAAAATTAATACACACAAAAACCCCGTCTCTGGAAAAAATAACTCAGTCTTGATAAGTATCTAAGATCTTAGATTAGCTAACTTCAGCAGTTTCATAGAAAACTTCTCCACAACGCAGACACTATGCACTAAGTAAACTAAGATGGATTCAAGAAACGTCAGTAGTTTCTGTGAAAACTTGTCCCCATTGCACAAAGTATGCACTGAGTTGAAAAGCATAGAGCAAGGGCTATAACTCTGTAAAAAATGAATTTACGACACCAGTTTTTTAATTCATTTGAGATCATGACCAGGAAAAGCAGTGTGTAAAAAATTTCATTTCTCTGATTTAAATATTTTGGGGGAAGCGGACGGACGAAAGACGAATGGATAGACGAATGAACTCCGTTCCTATATCCGCCACGAAGTGAGGCAGGGGATGATAACCTGGTTTTACCACCGCTCTTTTCCTTAAAAGAATGTTGATATTGTCGGCCGGCAGGATGGCACGATCCCTGGTGAAATGGCAGGTATCTGGCGCTATGGTTAATGGCGGCTGCCCTCTCAGGTTGATGCGATAGCCATGTTTTAATGTAGAGATTACCCAAGGGTTGTGTATTATTTGCTGCCATTTTTCCCAGTAAACCGCCAGTCTGCCGCCTGCTGGGGGAGTCTACCACTGGAGTTACTTGTGGCCTCTGGTACCAAAACAAAAGTTCCCTGAGATGTCTGCGCTGGGGTTGGAAGGTTTATTTCAACCTCCGCCACGTCCTCGGACACAAAAAACGAATCAGTGCCCGACTCTTTGTCTGGTACTGACCATAAGCTCCAAAATTTTGTAAAACCTTTGGGGCGATCAGTGAGTGTTGAACTTTCAGCCTGTGTCTTTGCTGTATTGTCCACCTTGCCGTTGAATAAGGTGAGGCCAGACTAAGCTTGTTGCAACAACACGTCGTGCACATGTTGATGTCCCAAGACAATTCTTACAAAATAGCCTGTCTCCTAAAGAGAGTCATCGATCCACACGCATGTAACAAAATGTTTGCCATGCTCTCTACATAAGAGGCAATTTAAAAAGCCGCTGACAACAAGGAAATAGCACAAGGTTAAACAGAGTCTCCTGGATTATCTTAATCATGGCCTCCAAAATGGACACTGCCAGTGAGAGTGGCATCAGTGAGTGGCATAAGTCACTGTCAATTGCCGCAATCCACCTCTAAATCCAAACTTCTGCGTATCTTTATCCATGGAAGGCAACACAACGGGGAATAGTAAACCATGCAGCTTAAACTTTGACGTACCAAATCCATGTTTGCACGACGATCCTTTCCAGTCAATCACCTCAAAGGCCTCATTCAATAAGTCTGGGAAGTTGAGAATCATGTGGACTGGTGGCAGTGTGAGAGTCCGAGTTGATTCTCTCTCTGCAATCTGGAAAGACAACACCTTAGGTTTCTTGGGGTTGCTCGGTTTCAAACCGAACGCGTCTGCCACCTAGGATCTGTTTAATCAAGGAGTTCCATTGTGTTGATACCCTCTGCATCAAGAGTCTTCCTCGGGAGATAGAACATGTAGGGGAGCTGGGTAATCTCTCGAGGACAGGTAGAGGAGGCGCTACCAGCATAAAAGACATCCTTGGTGAAGGTGCCATGATAGGCAACAGAGCAGCTTGCACAGTCATAGGTGGCGTCCAATCAAAGCGTTGTGGACCCAAAGGTGCAATCACCTCGTCCTCCTCCGGACGCTCACCTCATAATCAACGCCAATTGGGGAGGTGGCGCTCAAGTTTGAGCCAGCTCCTCTGCCAGCTCTAGTGGTTGATGCTGGAGCACTCGTCCTAGAGCGTAGGGATGTCTGGACCAGACAGGTAATAGTAGCTATCAAAGCCAAAGTGGTTAGAGTTGTTGCTGTTCCAGGGACAACAGTCACTGCGGCAGGCATGGTGACCAGTGCAGAAGTCATGGTCAAACGTTTTGGGTTCTGTGTTATAGGATCAAAGTCCAGAAGGGAATTTGGAAGGTGTTGTGTTTAAGAAATCAGTGAATTGTTTGTATTCTGGTGGGTTTTTTTGCAACTTAAAAAGTTACAGTGAATACAATTTTCAATACTTGAACATGCATTTCCTGCATTTGCAACACAATACAGTGTTAATATGTTGGTTCTGCCTTTGCACAAGTCAGCTAATTCACACACCTCAGAGCGCAACACTCAATCATATTATCAATCAATCAATAACACTCAGTCATATTGAGTCATCTGTGGGATGACACAACATCCTGCTACAACAACAAAACATTTCAGGTATGAACGTATTATGTCGGTAGATCAACCCAGCAACAGGCAGACTAAGTCATCAATTTCCCTGACCATCTAAATATAGTCATGAAATCACAATATATCTATATTTCTCATATTATCTGATTACACAAATCAAAACTATGGTCAGCTTGTGAGAACAAGTGACATTATTTTCCTTTGTCTTACTACAAAGGTTGGTTTCAAGGTACATGTACCAATATCAGTAATCTGACCATTGGTGCTGTAAACAATAGTGAGTTGGTGCGATTTACAGACACACGATTAAAATACCACCTTGTAATTAAAAGAGAAACAGAAACTTCCAATAAATGACTTCCAACAATCTAAGTTACCATGCTTACAAACGAAACCGGCAGGCCCGAATGCTTAGCAATCGGTTTGAAGCATAGCTGTTAAAATAAGAATAGGTTTAAACAAATAACATATAAGAAGTACTGTTCTCAGTAATCTTTTACTGGACGTAAAATATTTTTACTGTCAACACATAAATGTAAGTGTTCTGAAGCCTGCATGCAACAGGCACATGGGTGGGTAACTTTGACACTGACAGTTGTAGATGAGGCTACCCCATTGCACTGAGTGACTCTTGAGTTCTCTTCGCAACAGGCTGTTCATCAAATTCTGCTCTGTTGAATCCTATTGTATTTGATGAATTACAGTTGTTGACATTGACATTGGAAAGTAGTTCTGGCAAAGAGTTATCGTCAACGCTGTGAAAATATCACTTTTCTAAACTTTAGAAATTACAGTCTTTCACACTCTCTCTTATATAATAAATGAACTTTCCTCCCACATCTCACATGTTCACTTGTAAAATAAAACAAATTTCTAAAGACATTAATATCTGGTTTAATATTCAGATGTCACAACTTAAAGTAGTTCTGCAAGTGATAGTAACCTGTTTAAAATTGACTCAGAATGTGTAACCTTGTTGAAAATTTACATACCTAGTAGTTTTTCCCATACTCTGCTACCAGATTTCACCCTTGTATTTGGTAATGTAAACACAACTGGTTATTATTAAAAGATTATCTAGCTAGTGCGGCGAAACATTATTTCACACACTGTCTCTAATGTCAATAACATTTCATGATTCCTCCTGTCTTCCTCTCTATTAAGCAAGAGCCACGTCTATACTCACATTGGTATCTGGTTCTGCCTGCTCATCACGGCTGATACTCCCCCTTCTGATTCTCTGAAACCAGAAAACATCTTAAATATATAACTGCAGCAGTCTGTGACTGAAGTCTAGTAAAATTAGGTTAGGTCTAGTAATCTCAGAAAGATTAGTCCAAATGATAACGCTATTAAAATGATGCTGAGAGCCAAATTCTGGCTGGCAGCCTCAACTCAGCAATGTTCCAGCTTTTTGAAGCCAAGATCGAGTAAAATTAGGTTAGGTCTAGTCATCTCAGAAAGATTAGTCCAAATGATAACGCTATTAAAATTGTGCTGAGAGCCAAATTCTGGCTGGCAGACTCAACAGAGCAATGTTCCAGCTTTATGATGGTGGCATGTAAATAATCTAGACCAGATAATACAGTAATTGATATTATGAGTAATGATCCAAGCCATTATGATACAATGTAACACAGTTAACCAATTTAAGTCACCGATCCTGACCACCCGATCTATCAAGTCCCCTCATGACCAGCATGAGAATACCCACAGGGTGGGATGAAAATATCAACGCATGTCGGTCTGACGTTGATTAATGAACAATTTGCATACTCGTATATGCAAGAGGCCGACGTATGGTTCTCAGTAGGAAGTGACAAGTCGGAGACAATGGCTTGCGGTATATACAGTTTTACTTTATACATGTTGATATATACATACAAAAGACACAATGTGCCAGGTCAGCACATGGTGGTAGTGGTTGGTGTCTAGGTGCCCCGGAGCACCCAGCCTAACCCAAGCTAGGCTAAGGGTAAGACTTTTCTTTTCTCCTTCCTACTCTCCTCTCTGGACCAAGGCTTATATAGCCAAGGTCACCTGACATTTAGTAAGTAATAAATATAAATGTAAACAGTAAATCATCAGTGACATACTTGCACATCCTGTTCAGTATGGCAGACGGTCGATGTACACAAAAATGGGGATTAACAATTAGGATTAGTATCTTATAAATAACAGCAATTAAATGTTTCAAGGCATATAGATGTCATGGCTCCAGGGTAATGAGCCTTTGCAATTAAATGTTCTTCAGACAATGGGTGTCGTAAATCAGTCACCATGACAAATAGAAGGCTTGAAACTTTGCACTATTCCATCCTAGATTATCAAGTGTGTCAAACATGTATCTCTATCCCATACATGTTTAAAAACAATAATAATTTTTTTAGTGTGCCCACGGACTTATAGGTCTGTGGTGTGCCTAAGTTTTTCATAAAATAAACATAAGATTACACTTAGATTATAGTTTGTGGTGTTACGTATAGGTTAGAATGCTCCTCAAGGGCAATATGGACCACTTCCGACCCTGGTTAATACAAATTCCATGTTTGGACTCACGTTTTTCAAGTTATGCTCCGGAAAAGAAATACACACGGATGGACAGACAGACAGATAGACGAAGACTATATCCCCCTGCAGTATATGATATGTGCCATAAAAAGTGCCGAAATTTGCTGGGCTTTTAGGAATAAGAAAATATCAGACAACACTTTGTACTATCTGTTTTTCAAACCAGCTTTATGGCCTATTTGCAGTTAATTTTACACCATCATATAGGAAATCTAATATTCTACATCTCTGCATAATTTTATAGCTGCAGATAGTCCCAGTGCCGTACAAGCTCAATTGTCGCATAACCTTAACTTTTTCAGATGTTCCGAAAATCTGAATTCGTTTTGCCACCAGCTCCCATGAACGGTTTAGCAATATGAACGGTTTCAGTTAGTAATAACTCTCAAATAGAAGTAGGGGACCATGAAGTATAAATGTTATACCCAGTTTCAGAATAAAGATAAGTGTTGATAACAAACATCCTATGCAAGAATGTTAACTTCAGTAAAACTTAACACCAAAACACATTCAATAGTTTGCATGTGTGATTTTGACAAATTCTTGGAAAGTTGATTAATCTCTGTGGGCCAGTATCTCTGTCAGTCTTATTTATTTTGCACATCATATAGATGTGATTTACTTGATTTCATTCATTGTTTATGTATAAACTAGCAATTTATTGCATTTGGAACACTGCTAGCAATGCAGCATCTGCACCACCCAGAGCCTGTATGGGTTACTGGCATGCTGGAAACTGGCAGAAGTTAGTATGCAGCGGTCAATACATTTAATGTTTCACAGTCTGTGAAGCAGACCATGGAACAGATACCCCAAATGTTAACTGACCCTGTTCCACGCGTCCCAGGTCAATGACAAGAATACAAGATTGATTGCTTGGAAACCTGGATCTACGAAATCTAGCTCAACAATTTGCAACCATAGTCTTTGGTCTAAATGCAGCTAATCTCCATGGTCGACAGCCTCTTGTTGTACCGCCACTTACAAATCATAACAGTGCCAACAGACGTCAATTACACATCGTCAAAACTGGAGTTATCGTTGCTGGTCCTGTTTCATGTTTTTAGATGAGTTCCGAATCACTGTCAATCCAATGTCAACCCTTGAAAACCTCATGAGCGTTGGCTGGGAACGTGGGGTGGCCTCACTATGACAGATAGAAACTAGCAGGTCCACTTGTCATATAATGATAACATGTAACAAAACCCTTAAATATGCAATGCACATGTCCAGCAGCACAACACCCATAGAATGCCATGGCCAGCAATGAGCTCAGACCTTCCCCTTGATAGGGAGACGTATGCGTCAACTTCACAAGCTGCCAACCACGTTGGAGTGGAGTGGGACCGGCTCCCTCAAAACTCCATTTGGAGATTCATTCTTATCATCACTCTTCCAGTGAATAAATGTTTAACAAATCTGGGAGGTCTTTGATTTATTCCATTTTAGCCCTATCGTCTTTCGCCTTCAAGAACGTGGCGGTCATAACATCGATTCTACTTCACTACCGGATGCAATGTGTTCCCAATGTCGTTCATTAAACTTCAGATATTATCATGAAACTATTAGGCTAACTATACTAGAAACCAGGCCTAATACGTATATTTGTCCATTTTCCTGCCAAAAAATCTTACCACAGTGTCCACTGAGTGCTTTTTATTGAAAGGGGAAAGTTCCACAGCATTTTCGTTCTGTCTCTAAAAAGAAGGTAGTCCGTACCCTTTAGCCCTGGTTTTTGTACGATAACGATATGACGACAGCGTTGCAAAAGGGCGCACCTAAAATCCCCTCGTATCGACTCCACTCCGAGTCCGTCGCAATGATGACATGCATTTCCCTGTATCTTCGTATAGTCTATAACAAGAGAGAGGAAGAATTCACCTTTTTCCGAATTAATGACGATGAAACCGGATGGAAATGATGCTTCTTGCAGGAATTTTGTCCGTACGTACCGGAACTTGGCGGAGTATACATTCGGAACGTCTCTGTTTTACATCCTATTTCGTCGAATATTACGATGCCGATTTATTCTGATTGACATGTCGTGACTAGCACGGAAGGGCGTTGACATACTGACATATCGTATCTAGTACTTTCATCAAAAGTAGACAACTTTCATGGATAAAAATCAATAGTTTGTAAATGGAATATACTCTGATTTCACACATCATGTCAGTTTACAATGTGTCAATTAGAAGTATGGTGCAAGGCGAAATATTTCAAAATTGACAATTCTATAAATTATGACATTATCACTGTGGTTTTGGTCGTTTACAGAATAAATTACTTATTTTTCTTACCAGATGTTAATATATCTTCATGGAATAGTGTGAAGGGGTAAATTCCACAAATATTTTGCTGCCATTGTAAAACAAGTTAATACCCACCATACCCACCATATTCACCAAGGTACGCGGAACTGGGTGCCGTTGTACAAGGCGATCTTAGTGCTACGGCTATTGTAAGACAATGTTGAAGTATGTGAGTTACGATCATCTTAGCGCTAAGATCGTTTTGTGCAAGTGGGCCCTTAGCTCTAAGGTGGTCGTAACTCCTGTACCTAATATAGACTTACGACAGCCGACCCGTGTAGATCCGGGTTTGAATAGGTCTTCAGCAACCCATGCTTGCCGCAAAAATCAACTATGCTTGTCGTAAGAGGCGCCTAACGGGATCGGATGGTCAGGCTCGCTGACTTGGTTGATGCATGTCATCGATCCCAATTGCGTTGATCGATGCTTATGATGTCAATCAATGGATTGTCTTGTCCAGACTCGATTATTTACAGACCGCCGTCATATAGCTGGAATATTGCTTAGCGCGGTGTTAAACAACAAACAAACAAACAAAACGATCTTAGCCCTAAGGTGATCGAAACTCTCATACCTTAATACAGATTTACGACAGTTGTAGCGCTTAGGTTGTTTTGTACAACGGCAGCCTGATCTAAAAGAAAGACCCGCTTATAAAAATCTCATATCGACATAAAGTGTTTGAAGTCATAAGAAATAAATTATATGAGAGAGAGACAGAAGCGAGAAATGTCAGTTGCAGCTCTTTTTTTCAGGAAATAACGTGTAAACTTTGTATTTGTATTAAACCTTTTATTTAGTTTTATACATTTGGGTATCATTGAGTATTCGATGTCCGGAAATGAAACCATTTTTGAACCAATGTTTATAACCTCCGTCTAACACCATCTTGCAACTAAAATCACCTGTCGGCGAATACTCAAGAACAGAGAATCGACATTGAACATACAAAAGTGAAACAATATTATGTTCGTAGCTCTCTTTTTTCATGCAGTTGTGAAACAGACATCAGAGATGATGTCATTTACTAATGGGGGCGGTCGGGTAGCCTAGAGGTTAAAGCGTTCGCTCGTCACGCCGAAGACCCGGGTTCGATTCCCGACATGGGTACAATGTGTGAAACCCATTTCTTGTGTCCCCTGTCGTGATATTGCTGGAATAATGCTAAAAGCGGCGTAAAACCATACTCACTCACTCATATATACTCAACAACAAAAGTTCCCGTGACACCAATATTTTAGTGCATTTTTCAAACAAGTAAAGTTTGGTTTTCAATATTGTAGTACATGTGCATGTATGGAATCAAGTCACAAAAACGCAACTGCTTCAGAAAAGCATGCATTCCATGCAAAAGTTGACTTTTATGCACGCCCCATGCATTTCACTACCCAAGAATGGGTATAAAACATGTGTGTTAACGGGATTCCATAATGCATTGTTTAGCATCGTGCTGACAACAACCACTCAGAAAAACAACAACAACATTACGAAATGCCACGCATGTCCGAAATTGAGCGTCTGCGAGCCATTGGTATGCTTGAAGCAGGATCGAGTCAACGTGATGTTACAAGACAATTTAACGTCAACAGAAACACCATTTGGTGATTATGGCAACGTTGGCAACAGACGAATGCAGTAAGAGACCATCTTCGGAATGGAAGGCCACGCTTAACCAACAATCGACAAGACAACTGGAGTCGAACAACACACCTACGAAATCGATTCCAGCCACCAACAGTGACTGCAAGAAGCATCCCTGGCCTTCGACGAATATCTTCACAAACCGTACTTCGCCGCCTCAGATGTGCAGGGATTGTCGCCAGAAGACCCACCAGACGTCCTATTTTGACAGGAAACCACCGTCAAGCACGCCTACAGTGGTGCAGACAGCGTCTACGCTGGACGGCCATGCAGTGGGGATAAGTTCTATTCACTGACGAGTCTCGTTTTCACCTCAGCCACAGCGATGGACGGATTCGAGTGTACCGACGTCGAGGTGAACGTTACGTCAATCATTGTGTCATGGATCGGTTCGAGGGCGGCGGCGTTATGGTATGGGGTGGGATTACAGCAAGATGTCTCAATGGACAGCGCTACCGCGACGAGATCATCGGCCCTGTTGTTCTACCGTTTTTGCGTCGTCATGGCCCAGGCATTACCTTTCAACATGACAACGCCCAGCCTCATATTGCTCGACTGGTTCAGGATCCTCTTCCACAATATGTGAATGTCATCCCCAGGCCAGCTCGCTCCCCTGATCTCTCACCAATCGAACACATGTGGGATGAGATGGATCCGCGCCTTCGACGTCAACCACGTGTTCCACAGACACTCCAGGAACTTCGAAACATGCTCCAGCAGATATGGACAGATATCCCACAGGACTTTGTGCGACGCCTGGTCAATTCCATGAGACGAAGATGTGTTGCTTGCATCGCTACCAAAGGTGGATACACCCTATTGATTTGTAATTTGACATTTTGGCATGTTCATGTTGTTGTTTTTATGAAATCACGCATTTTCTGAAGTCAGTATGGCAAATTAATCCATTTGAACACTTACAGGAGTCTTTTATCTGTTGCAAACCGAAATTGTTTCGGATTTGGTAAAAAACATAACTTTGCATTAAATCTTATTCAATGTCACAGGAACATTAGGAACTTCAGTGTACTAATACCTGTTTACCAAACAATCCAGCGTCTGATATAACGAACAATCAATGTTGTAGGATACCAAGTCTAACCACGCGACCCATTGATCAGGCATATGTTGCTTGGGGACGGATCCTATGACGTGGGATGTCCGCTGGATTTTTCCTTCTTTCCTTCAGAGCAGGCACACCTGATATGTAGAGTTAGAACATGGACACAAGCTGTCATTGCAGTCAAATCATGTTCATCTGCAGTTACCGTAGCTGGCAAGATCCACTGAATGTCAGTTCAAACACCACCTGACCGCCTCCATGGTCAAGTGCATGGTAGAGCGTCCGCTCGAAAAGCGGAGAGGTCCGGGGTTCGATACCCGGCAGCGTCATACCGAAAGTAATATAACCGAGTCTTTTAAAACAGTGGTTGATCTTATGAGCACTCAATACACAATCAACTCTTGTATATGGCAACTCAATTCTTATACTCTACCGTTATGGTCTGTCTGTGTTGGTGTATCATCACCCGAACCATGGCCTGGCTACCCTTGTGTTGCATCATACCCGAACCATGGCCGAGGAGCCCTGGTGTGTACTAATACCCGAATCATGACCTGGCTGTCCTTGTGTAGCATCATACTCGGACCGTGGAACAGCTAACATGGTGTGTAATAATACCCGAACCATGGCCTGGCTGCCATATCGTCACTGATTTAAATAGCTATTGACGTATGCATCCTTGAAAACAGCGTGTCATGAAACTGTTAAATCTTTTCGTTTTGAATATGCTTGTCAATAGTGATTAAGTATGGTTTTACGCCGTTTTTCGCAATATTCCAGAAATGTCATGGCAGGGGACACCAGAAATGGGCTTCACACATTGTACCAATGTCGGGAATCGAACCCGGGTCTTCGGTGTGACGAGCGAACGCTTTTTAACCACAAGGCCACCCGGCCGCCCCCAACACTTCCAATAAAACCAAGTCCTCAACAGGCAGATTAAAACAACAACAACAAGAAGACCCACATTGTAGTGCAATTTACCACTTCATCTTACCATCTTCATCTCAAACTTTAACTTGGAGACGTCACTTCCTGAACGAAGCTGTGGTGAGAACCGGCTCATTACAGAGTGGACAGTGTCATATACCGTAATACACTGCATAATCAAGGGTGAAGCCATAAACCAATCTAAAAACTGCTCCTATAAACAAACATATATCCTAAACAGAAATTGTGCTGCGAATTATATTTATTTAAAGAGAAATGAATTATTTTGCTTCACGCCAACAAAATCTATGTACAAGTATGTGTTTCTTGTCAACACTTGTACAGATTTTCTAATAAATTTACATGATTATCAATCAGATCGCTGCTGCTAAACAAAGATCTGAGGACATCCCATTACGGGTCACGTTAGAACGACCTTTCGTGAACTTTGACCGACCACTGAAATGACTAAAAAGAAGTCGACATCAGCCAGCTAGAAAGTAGCTTTCTCGAGCTTTATGGCACTCGTTTCAACCTGTCGACTGCCATTTCAGACTACCCTTGAATAAGATTTTGTCACATTTCTCAATTAAAATTTTGAAAACTGAACAAACGAAGATTCCGGAATGTCTAATATATGGTTGAGATTGTATGGCAGTTGCTTTCCACGTACTGTGCAACGCCTCCTCCGTTCAAATGTATATCCCACGGAAGCGAGAGATAGACGATAATTTTGACGGAATCATTCGTAGCTGTCGTTCGGAATACCCCGTGTTAATGTTTTCGAGGTTGCATGATTAGACAACACATTCCGACCGTCACTTTCGTGATCTGGTAAGCGACGCTTTGATTGGTCGGGTGAAAGGTCGTCCAAACGTGACCCGTAATGGGATGTTCTCAGGTCTTTGTTGAGCGATAGCGAGAACTAAGATCTGATTTTAATGAGATTGACATGATTATGCAATGTAGGTGTACAAACATGTGGAGAAACATTCAGCTTGTCCATGTTCAAAT